ATCGCCCCTGCCGGCAGGAGTGGTGAGTCCCAGGGTTTTGTCGGGTTTTTTTTTCTTAAAGGGTTGGAGCTCTCCTGTGCAGGGCACCCATGTTGGGGCTGGGGAAGCGGGGGGGCAGTTCGGGGGCTCATGTAGAGCCCCCCATGCACTGTGGGGCAGTGGGGGGCAGCAGGGATCACACCCTGCCCAGCAGCACCTGCTGAGCCAGGGCTTTTTTCCGCCCCCAAGTGCGAGGAGCTGGGGCAGGTGAGGCGGCCATTGCTGGGCTGGGACAGGGGCAGGGGATGGGCCTGGCCTGATTCGGCTGCTGCCGAATCTCCGAATCAGATTCAGCTGAATCGAATCGGGACAGTGATTCAAATCACTGAATCGAATCAGTCCCCTCAATTGGCCGAATCCAAAGCAAATACTAGCTTCTTCACACAGGCCTACTTTGTAGCTGTGCAACAGTGTTGTTTGTGTACTTTTAGGAATAAGTTGGACAAGCACTTGTACCGGATGGTTTGGCAATGGCTGATCCTACCTTGAGCAGGGGGTTGGACTACTAGATGACCTTGTGAGGTCCCTTCCAGCCCTCCTTTTCTATGATGCTAAGCCTCTGGCTGTCCTGAGCTGGCTCTTGAGAGAAATTTCAGTCGCTTCCAAAGCATTTCAGTTTACCTGTAGAATATTTTCCTTTTGAGGTTTCGAGCTTTCCTGCTTTTGTAAGGTGCTGCCGTGATTGCCAGTGTTTCAATGCCAGATTCTGCCCCTCAGGAAACTTCCTCTCTTGCCTCCACGGAAAATGAGTCAGACACATGCAAACATTTTAAAGTCCCGCTTTCATTTTTTGCTGATCCAACCACATAGAAACAGAGCTAGGAGCCCACTGAGCTCTGTGTTCTTAATCAGGCCCATTGTTAACCCCGGGCAGTGAGGAGAGCTGCTCTGCTTGTCTCTCCAGCTTGATATTTCTGAGATGCTGCTGGGAGTGGTTTCAAATTGAAGTTATAGGCCTTCAATTTAGCTTTTGCTCTTGCCTGGATCCTCCATGAGGTGGCACCAGCCCCTTGCAGTCAGTAGATGAAGTTTCTGTGCCATTGGTTTTCCATTCCTGCGGTATTATTTTGCTCCCAAATGACCCAGCTGCAAAGTTTGATTCTGTGCTTTTTGGCACCTGCCTCCCTTCTAAATGTGGAGCAAGAACAGATTAAACCCAACAGGTGTGGCTTGAAGTGCTGGCTGCACCCAAAATCCCACGATGCTGGACTGCTAAAAGGCAGCTACCACCAGAACAGAGGATAGAAGAGTCTGCTACACGACACACTTTACTCCCGTCTCTACTCCCGTCTCCAGTTGCAGGAGAGCGATAGTTTTAGAATCAGAGAAAATGAGGGATGGAAGGGACCTCGGGCAGTCATCTAGTCCAAACCCCTGCTCAAAGCAGGACCAGCCCCAACTAGATCATCCCAGCCAAAGCTTTGTCTAGCTGGGTCTTAAAAACCTCCAAGGATGGAGCTTCCACCACCTCTCTAGGTAACCTGTTCCAGTGCTTTACTACCCTCCTCATGAGAAAATCCTTCCTAATATCTAACCTAAACTTCCCTTGCTGCCTTGAGACTGTTGTTCTGTCATCTGCCACCACTGAGAACAGTCCAGCTCCATCCTCTTTTGAACCCTGCTGCAGGTAATTGAAGGCTGCTATTAAGTCTCCTCTCAGTCTCCTCTTCACTAGACTAAATAAGCCCAATTCCCCCAGTCTTTCCTCAGAAGTCATGCACCCCAGACCCCAAACCATTTTTGTCGCCCTCCGGTGGACTTTCTCCAATTTGTCCACATCCTTTCTGTAATGGGGGGGCCCAGAACTGGACACAGGACTCCAGATGTGGCCTCACCAGTGCTGAATAGAGGGAAATAATCACTTCCCTTGACCTACTGGCAACACACCTACCAACGCAGCCCAGTATGCTGTTAGCCTTCTTGGCAACAAGGGCACATTGCTGGCTCATATTCAGCTTATTGTCAGCTGTAACCCCCAGGTCCTTTTCTGCAGAGCTGCTGCCCAGACAGTTAGCCCCCAGCCTATACTGGTGCGTGGGATTGTTCCTCCTAAGTGCAGGACTTGGCACTTGTCCTTGTTGAACCTCATGAGATTCCTCATGGCCCATTCCTCCAATGTCTCTAGGTCACTCTGAATCCTAGCCCTACCCTCCAGCGTTTTGCTAAGAATACTCCTTTTTTGTATATGCCACAACCCTGTGCAGGCCAGGCTGGTCCTACTAGTGCTTTAAAATTGTGTAGTATGCTCCGTGTATCCAGAGCTGATGGGTTGCAGTAAAGGCACAGGCCGGGAGACCTGGTTTTTATTCCTGCCTCTTCTGCTATAGGTGGTTTTGGGGTCTGTTTTTCAGTTCATGGCCTTAGATTTTCTGTGCATTGGTTTACTTGTGAGCGAAAAGGAAGAATGTACCATGGGTTGATTTGATTATATGCATAGAATGCTTTTAGATTGGGGAGATATCTGCAAAATGCTGATGGGGCAGGTTTACCTTAAGATGCTGATAGACTCCTAGGAGAGGCACAAAAAGCATGTAAACTGGTTCCAAAGGGTTGCATTCAGGGGGAATTATGTGCCGAATGTTCATTGTCTCTTCCCTCAATATCACTAGTAGTCTATCTGCATCTGAGTAAAGCTATCCAAAGTGACTTAGGAGCATACCCCCAATGGGACAGTGGTTCCTAAGTCACTTGGACACTTGGGAGAATTTCACCCACCCTGATGACAGGCATTTACTATTTCTGAGTTTTCTTCTCATTGTGGCTGACCTGTTTCTGTAGCTACAGCAAGTCATCGCCCTTTTGGTATCCAGGATGTTATGTGGCATATTCACCCCAGTAACCTCCTTTTTCTACCAACAGAGGAGAATCAGTATGTTGAAAGCTGAAAAGGGGCCAGAAGAGAGGGAGCTAATTACCAGCAGCCCCAACATGGAAACCAACAACAACTCGCCTTCCAGCACAGAGAAAACTCATGGGCCTGAGCTGAGTCTGGCCGAGGTGAACCAGAGCAGCGGAAATTCCCTAGATTGCCCAGTCGATGCTCGTGTGAGGGACCACACTAATAACCGGATCGGTGAGGCCAATGGGTTTATTGAAAATGGGGGGAGCAGAATACAAGTCTGGCACAAGCTGGATTCCCCCACAAAGTTAGATGCGAATCCCATAAACCCGTGTGTGCCTAAGTGCGGGGATTGTATTGCACAGCCTGCCAAGCTGTCATTAAGATGACATTACTCTTCCTACTTTTACTTGTCTGCCAGCTCCACTGTCCTGACCCAAATATACCCCAGTTGCAGATCCAGCCTTTCCAGTAAATGTGGAAGAGATAAGTCTCTGCTGGACCCTGCTGTAAGCCACAGGGACACCAGTGCCTTGGCGTTGGCTGTTGTGAGGCAGTCAGGCAGTGGAGCAGTCTTTTCATTTCTAAGCGTGCATGCAGCGAGGAAGGCTCTGTGCTAGTCGTCAGTCTCCTTTTAAAGGCTTGGGTTTGAGAAGTGGGCAAAAAGGCTATGGCCACCAGAGATCAGGCCTATGTTACTGGAAGGGACCAGTGACCATGTGACACTAGTCCAAAAGGAATATTTCAGGGGGCCCTTCTTTATTGCCCCTGTCCCATGCTGTGCTCAGGTCTAAATGAACAGAGCCTTAGAAACATCCCCAGACTCTTCATAATTACTGCAGTGCCTTTCAAAGGGCATCCCTACCCCAGTGTAACCAGTTATCCGAGGGGAGAGTGAAGCTAAATGGGCCTGAACAATATACCTCTGCACTTCGGGGCATATCAGCTCAGGGACTCTGAAGGAACCTGCTGGGGTCAGCAACAGATATGACAGCAAACACTACTCAGTACTAATGCCCTTGTGCTTCTTTATTTAGAGAAAATTTACATCATGAAAGCAGACACAGTGATTGTGGGCTCCATCTCGGAAGTGTCCGGAGGCAAGAACTGTGCCGTTCGAGGGTATGACAGTGATGCTGAGGCCCAAGAAAACCCAGTGGAAATGGATGGGGCAATGCACTATCCAGAGCAGGAGACAGAATCATTCCCAGGAAACGATGTCATGATTCCCGTGGAGGAGGAAGGGAAAGAATTCCATCACCCCACCACTGCCACCGAGAAGTGATGCCCTCCTGCCACCACTGCTGACAAGTGATGATTCCTGAAGTGTAAAGCTGTAGAGATGCCCACTGTGCCGGCGACTGAGAGCTCGCTGGAGAGTTGTGGCTGCATTATTGTCTCCAATACTGTAGGTTGTGAAAGGATTTTTTGTACGAGGCCTCAGAGAATCTATTTCATCCCCAAAATGAGGCATGCATTCAAAGGAAGAAGAACTTGCACTGCTTATCATATCAGATGTTTCTCCGTCCTCCTCCCTCTTTTTGCATCCCACTAGAGATGGACCTGAACCAAAACTGCACGTACAAAAAACCCAGAATTCTACCCTAACTTCATGGCTTCCCGTCTCGTTTCACAGTGGGATAGAATAAAACCCCAAATACTGACCAAACTCCTTGGCTGTGAAATGTCAGGTCAGACTCCAGGGGCTGAAATTGGGAAGTTGTTTCTGAATCCCATATCTGAAGCTGTGTTGTTCCCACATTAAGGTTGCCAACTGCTGGCATGTGTTTATTGCATTGTTCAGAGTTTTTCAGGAACTAGCTCTACTCCTGGATGGATAGGATAAAAATCTCAGGTTTATCAGCATAAAAAGTCTCTAAGCCTCCTAGTTCTAGAAAAAAAAGCTTGAAAAACTTTTTCCAGTATGTGCCTTGGAGGATCAGAAACTAGAAGGGAGAAGAAGCGAATACAGAATTTGCTTGTGACTATTAAGCCAGTTCTATGGATCTTGCCCCTCTGGGACTTGGCCATACTGATGCCTTATGATCTTTTCCCAGGAAAAGACTGAGAGGCTGAACATGAGGTTCTGGACTTTTGTTTCCATGTGGAGTCTCTATGAAAGGGGCCTTCCAGTGTATAGGAATGGGGTCCTGCAAGGAACACAAAGGGAATATGCTGATTTTCCAAAGGAAACAAAGACTTTGAGAAAAGGGGGCCTTGATTGTTCCCTAGAACATTATCCATGTCTGATTGTTCAAGGAGAATTGCTGGTACCATCCTGGTAGCACTAGTTTATTTGCATGCTACTGGTCCACACTGTGTTGTGGAAATTGCTGCCATAACCAATTAGACGGGATGCCTGCATGCAGCTCGCGTGGTTTGAATACCAAGTGCCATGTTGGTGGTGGCACTTGAGCACACAACTTTGGGAAATGAGTGCCTTGGCTGCCTGTGCCTTGTCTCTAGTGGGTTATGGAATAGAGAAAATCCCACACAATTTACTGATCCATTTTGATGCACTGGTTGGGGGAGTAGTTAGCTGATTGAACGATTTCACAATGATTACACACTTAATTTATACAACTCAATTTTATTTTAAAACTCTTTGCTACGTATAGAACACTGCTTAGCTTTAAGAAACACCACAAACATTAAAAACACAATAATTACATATATCAGAAACAATGCTCCGAATGCACTTCCTTCCCAAACAATGCTATAAGAATTAGTGTTACTAAAACAACTACAATTACAACTAAAAGTTAAATTTGAATCAATACTGTTATTTTTCATAATATACTTACAATCCTAGAATTCCGAGAAGCCAAATACCAAAATATAGTTTCATTCCTCAGTAGTACGATTTAATGGGTTGGCCTCAGTAGTACGGTTCAATAGGCTGGCCTCAGCAATACGATTCAATGAGCTGGGCTCACCAGTGATAGGACTACGTCCCCTTCCTTCAGTCCCTTTCAGGTGCTCCGCGGCTTCAGCGTGAACTAAGAGATTCGTGTTCACGGAGAGGTTGGATTAGGTGATCAATCTAATCCGAGCTTACACTTGCGATTCTTCCTTCGTTGTTCTGCAAGTGAAGTCACCTCCAAATTGGGACAGTAAGTTACAGGTTTTTATTGAGTGAGCTGCCGTCAGTGGGCTCCTCCTACTCAACTTATCATAACTCCCAAATTTGGGCTCGGATCTTACTCAACAGAAATTACCTTTGTTGAGCATTTTAAATTATTCTTGGGGAGACTTCCATATCACTGTAAATACTCTTTTCTTAGCAATTTGGTTAAAAGGCCTTAGGCTTTGATGTCTCGGAATTCAGGATATTTGCTTTCTTTGTAAAAGACTTCTAAAGATACAATTTAAATTAAGGCTTTAAGTGAAGTCAGGACATTTTGCACGTAGCTCCGAAACAATGAGCTAGATAAGGAGATAAATCCTATCTTCTTCCTGAAACTGGCTAATGGGCAACCTTTACAAACATTCAAACTATTTCACTCAATATGACATGCCTCCATCGTCAAAGAGGGAACCCCAGGATCATTACCTGCTCCTCAGGGCTGTGCTGAGTGGCATGCGGTGACAGCACCTATCTTGGTGCCTTCTGTCTGAGATTCTCAGGGCACTTCCCAAACCATAGTGAAGCTTCCAATGTTTACAAGGGCAGCACAGACCTATATACCACTTCTATAGTGGTAGAAAACAGGCATGGAGAGACCCAACTGAGGACAGAATATAGTGGGGCAAGCAAGAGACTCCCTGGCCTGTGCTGTCCCCGCTTGTGCCTCTAATCCCCTGGGGAAGTGGCTGTGGGCTGAGTGGGAGTGCCCCCATGGCTTCCTCTGTGACTCCTCCTTTCATCTCTGTGAAAGTTGTCTATACTGTACAATGCTTGGTTTAGAGTGTTGCTGCTGTTGCAGCCCCCTCCGAACGAGCCAGGAGAGCAGATAACACACCCCTTTTCTGTGTACATTACCTGTTATGCTTGCTGTTTTCATTGACAAGCTAATCACCCCCTAAAGCCAAGGAAAAGGAGTCCTAATCTTCATTTTATCTTCGTTCTCTTCACTGCCTGAGCAGGCCAGGAGGTAAAGAAGGAAGGAACAGAAATGACTTATTTTACTAAAAGGGTTCCAAAATTATTCTGCAGCAGAAGCTTGGCCCACCAGACACTGCCCAGAATCCACAGTTCCAGGAGGAAGTGAGACAAAGGGCAAGCGCCATATACTTCCACCATTCATGCTGCATTGTTCGCCAGGTTTCCGAAAAGACTCCCAAGCAAAAAGAAGCTTCTCTCTGTTGGGTAGATGCTGGCCTGCCATGTGTACAGCAGTTCTCATGGCAGTAAACTTGCCAAAGGGCTCGTTGTGATAAAGGACTCGCATATTCTTGCCCAGTACAGACAGTCACCTTGTTAACAGAACAGCTCTAATGGAATGGCATGAAGCACTCGCCTGCTATACAAACTGTTTGCTGTTTGTGGTGACCATTTAGATAACCTTTGCTATTAAAAAATATGCATATTGCCCTGTCAGCAAACTCTTTCTTTCTCAAAGTAGCAGTGGATGGAATATCGTGTGATTCACCCTGAAATGATACAAATGCCAAAGAATCAGATCAATAAAAGGAAAAATCAGTGTCTTCCCTGGCACAAGGATACAGCAGTTACCCAGCAGCGAAATACTGAACCCTCACTTAAGATAAGGCTGTTTTCCCCATAGAGCCAGAGTGTGGGAGATTTCATGTGAGCATAGTGTAACAGTGATGTCAGGAGACTCTGGGGCAGAAGGTAAGGAAATCTGCTTCTACAGGTAGCACAAAACTAGGAACATCGGGCAGAGACCTCACTTCAGCCCTGCTCTCTTCCCCTGCCAATGTGCTCCACTGTCTTCTCTGACTCTGAAAAAGGTCTGTGTAAGGCAGCCAGGAAGCTGGAGGGTGGTTTTTTTCATACCAGACATCATTATAATCTCCCTTTTATATTTGGCTGGACTGATCACAGTAACAGGCCCCTTGTGACTTCAGAGTAGGTGCTGAGGACAAAAAGGATGATGCTCCCCCCTCACCTGCTCCCTCCAGGCTTTTGCCACTTTTGGTCCTCATTAGGGTAATGTGAGAGGAAAAAGGCCACAGGAGTGCATGACAGTCTGGACACCGGCTTCATTGGGCCTTGGTTCAGGCCCAGAACAACCTCAATTAATTCCCTCTCAGAAACCTTCCTTAACATGATAGATGGGGTTTCCTGATATTCCCCTTGAGAGAACTGCTCCTGGTATGTTTGGCTCACCATGCACACTATGCATTTGCAATGGTAATGGGGAAGTAAATGTCTAGTCCCTAGTGGACATATCTTCATTTCATTAAGGTTCAAATCCCCTGGTGGGGAAAAGAAGCAGTACTCCATCAGAGTTGTACCCATGTAGAGTTTGGCCCTGTCCCTTTAGGCACTCTTCTAAGCTGTCCGGTTTTAGCAGAGTGCAGGGGGACTTGGAAACTGAGTGATCATTTTCATCAGATCCTGGCTTCTGATGTTGGTTCCCTTCTCTTCCCACTCGATTGGTACCCAGAACTTCCTCCTTCCTGTCCTGACTGTCTGTAGCTCCGAGTCTACCCCAGAGTTCCTTTTACATTCAGAAAGATGGATCTGTGATGATTGGTTTAGTAAGCAGAAGCCTCACTTTGAGCTTTCATAACCTCACCTGGGACAGATTTACAGTTTGGGCCAATAAGTGTCTTCAGACATTCAGTGATCACTCCTGTGAATTGTTATAAAAGCATAGTCACAGCAAATGGTTATAAGAAAACAAAGCACAAATGCACTGCAAAAATCCATAAAAGGTAAAGGAAAGAGATCAAAGCCAAGATAATATCTTCTGATCCTTTTGTGCCTTGGCTCAACCTGTAGTAATTTCGTTGTTAAATAAGGCAATAAGTCAGATCACTTTCCCAAAACAGTTCTTATCTGGGGCAAAGTGAATGTTTCTCAAGGAAAACCATGTTGCAACTTTGGACTCTGGTTGAGAAGTTGGTTCCTATCTGTGTACAATCTCCTCACCGGCAGAGAAAATGGGTTGATAGGGAGACACAGGATGCTTCCTCCTCCTCTTTCCCATTTACAATAGGTGGCAAAAAGCAGGACTTAATCCAGGTAACTAAGTATGTGAGTACAGGAGTTTAAAATGTGCTTACTGCAAACACTGGTAACAGCAAAGCCCATCTGTCCTACTGTCACCTACAGAAAGTGAGCACCAAGGAAACTAATTCAGACTAAGAGGTAAAGAAATACGTGCAAACAATCAAATGATCATGGTGGCAGATCCTCTCCTTGAGAAAATTTAAGGTCTGTACAACCACAGTAATACTTGCTGCTACAGCACATTTAATTAAAAAATCATTTACCAAATGATGATAACTGGTTGAAAATGCCCTTTGCTTTGTTTTGTTTTTTTCGTTTTTCTTTTTTTTGTTCTTTTGGTTGGGCGGGATTTGTATGAAATTTAGAGGGAGAGGATTTTGTAAAAAAAGGAAGCCTCAAATGATATGAACAATGTCTGTGAAAACGTTGGTGGGATTTGGGTTTATTCAGCAATTCTTTAGTCTTTTATTTAGGTGGCCAAATATGAACTTAAAGAGGCCTACCTTATCATAGAATCATAGAAGTCGGGTCGGAAGGGACCTTGCAGATCTTCCAAGTCCGACCCCCTGCCTGGGCAGGAGGAAAACTGGGCTCAAATGATCCCAGCCAGGTAGGCATCAAGCCACTTCTTAAAGACCCCCAGGGTAGGAGCCAGCACCACTTCCCTTGGAAGTTGGTTCCAGATCCTAGCCGCCCTGACTGTGAAGTTTAAATTAAATTAAATTAAATTAAATTAAATTAATTTAATTTAAACCTTCATGTTTGAAAACACTAAGCATATTATTACATTTTAAAGAAAGAAAACAGACAAGTTATATAACTTGTTCAGGGGCCTATGCAGGCTTTAGGAGCTCTATCTAATCATGAGCCCCCATCAGATGAGTTAACTATATACCTAAGTCCCTCTAATAATATAGTAGGCCTTGTAGCCCCAGAACATCCAACCATTTCATGGGTATGAGTTATTTTTCAGTTCAGCATGTGAGCTCTAGTGATAGATTTCACTGTTAAGCCAATGCCATCCCTATATTCAAGAGCTAATTTAATACTGTGACTGATAGTTATATTTATATCATTTGAATTATCACGAGACAGTGAGTACCACAGACCAGTCATGCATTGTCTAAAATAATTTTCTTTTATCAGCTTTGAAATCCAAATACACCTGCTGAAACCATGGGATTTGACCTTTGCAAGGGTAGTCTTCAAATGTGCACGCTTCACATCACTGTATCTAATGAAGGGCTCCTAGATACATCTATATTTAGGCATCTAAATAAGGTCTCCTCTCTGCAAAGATGGATGACTTCAGTGGCATATGCAATGGGACTTTTCATTTTTAAAATATAAGCACTTGTCTCATTGTTTGTGTGATCAG